CCCCAAAACCCCAAAACCCCAAAACCCCAAAACCCCAAAACCCCAAAACCCCAAAACCCCGAGATTAAACTTAAGTGTTGGAAAATGTTCATTAATAAAATATCAATGGAAGCTCATATCTTTGACAAAGAAATTAAGCTGTATCATAAATGAAAGAATGATAATGGTAAAAACTATATTCTTGAGACTCTGTAAATTGTTTTAAGGCTCTCATGTCGTTTAAATGAGTGATTTAGAGAACTACAAAATCCTGAGCTCTCTAGATATGCCATAGAGCAGAAGCCCTGCCAAGATTTGCTTTGCTAATGTATACCACTCTGAGTTAAAGGATTCCAAATCTCTCTTATTAATGAACATTTAATGACCATTAGTATAGCTTTGTCCCAGCAACTTCAATCCAAGAATGCCAAAATCCGCCCAAAATTACAAATAATTAACTTCGACGAGTATTCCATCTGAGGAAGGTTTAAATCAGTCGAGCAAGTATCTTCCCTAAATCATGCAGCCCATGAATGCGGAATTCTGACGATCAAGGGGAGATACCACGGAGATGTGCCTGTAAAGCTGCATTTCAAGTATATCATCAGACTGATTCCCTGCACTATGGAGGTGCTTTATTTAGATAGCCTCCAGTTCACCAGCAAGCAGTTTAGGAAGGTACTGGCGGTCTGTAGGAATGTTCCTAAAGTGTCATTGTGCTCGGTCGTGTTCTGAGGTACGGTCTTGGGTCTGAGGAAAGACTAGGATAGGGGGTTTGGAGTCGTGTTCGGGTAAGAGGTGATGCTGTGGAGTTTGGATAGATGAGTAATGGGTTGGATAATTCGGAGAGGTTGAGAGATTTAATTGTGCTTTTAGCTAAAGATATCAAGTTTCCAAAGACTTTGGAATTCAAGATAGAGGAAATGAGCTTTAGGCTTTGCAGGCCTCATAATCGGAAGGATTATGAGATTTTATTTGATTATTTATTCAAAATGATTTCTGGATGATCTCTTAGGAATTCTTTAAATATAATTCAAAAAGTACCTCAAGGAATCAATGAAGAAAAACTCAGAGAACTACAATGAAGACATGGTCTTGATGAAATCGATATTATAATGTCAAGGAGCCATTTTCTACATTCAAGATACTAAAAAACTAAAATTCAACCCCCTAAAAACCACCCGGGGTTTTGGGGTTTTGGGGTTTTGGGGTTTTGGGG